ATCAGCTCTGAAAAAAAAGAACTTATAATCTTAAAGCACTTCTCTAAATTTTTGAAATGAAAAATCTTAAAAACTATATTAATGTAATTCTACATTTTTCACATGTGTTGGTACCTTTTCTACATTGTGATAATATTTCAAATGTATTTTGAAAAGTATGCGATTTAAGGTACAAGATAGCTGGATATTTTAAGTGGATGAAAAACAGACCATTCTATCCCTGATAGTAAAAAAAGAAAATGGAGGAATGAGACAATCCCAGAAAAGTAATCCATTGCTTTAAAATTCTACAACTCTCTATACATAATTAACTTGGCATTAGAACTTTCCTTTCATAGAAGGTGAATACTGTTTTTTATTAATAATAGGGAAACTATCTTTTGGCTTGCTCATGATATGCCAGAGTCTGTATAGTTGCTTTACAAGTGTTATTTAATCTAATATGACAACTCCATTATTAGATAAGGAAACCAAGATTCTAAGGTCTTAGATATCTTTCCAAGGGAACAACTAGTAAGTTACAGGGTGGGATTCAAACCAAGTGGAGAACAGTTTTCTCAAATAAAAACAACTTAGTGTTTCATCACTGCCATATATTAGGTGGTCATTAATCCTAAATATTTGTTAATATTTGTAACTTTTCTTCAAATATTTTTTCTTAAGGTATTAAAATGATTCTCCAAAGAAGTGAACATGTACAAGGAAGTGACGGAGAGAGATCATCTTCAAGACTTACAGAGGAAAAGAAATGAAGACAAAAGAGTTTGATTTCTCTAATTTGGCAATGAATCTTCCAAAATTCAAATGTGACTATGGTGTTTGTCATATGTATCATTGCTGTAAGTGTAGAAATGACCCCTACTGGTTTATGAGGGGCATGGAAAAGGGAAGTTTTCTTAATTCAGAAAATATTCTGTAATCAACTTTAAAGAAAGCGAGCAAAAATCCAGTGTAAGCAGGAATGCATTTTGAAGTAATTCTGAAAATACAAAGGCCAGAACAATGTGTTCAAAAATAAATATACACATAAGTCACAAACAGTCCCTGTGAGAAGTATCTGCATTAGGCAAATACAATGAAAATTTCCCCAAAACTCCACATCAGTACTGCTATGTACATCTTCTAGTTCTTCTTCTAGTTCTTGCTCTGCATGCAGTAAAATTTCAAGGTTCATCCCAGTAGCCAAGGAGAAGACTTCATTATTGAACTGCTAGTACAGATATGCTCCTGTCATCTATTCCTAATTCTTTCTTTATA